TTTAATGCCGACAAAATTTTTCATTGTTGGTAATATTTTTTTATCTATCTATCTATCTCAGTATATATTGGTTTGGTTTGGTTTGTTTTACGACATATCAACCTCAATGGGTTATTTAATGCCGACAAAATTTTTATTGTTGCTAGTTTTTTTTACAAATTATGGTATTAAAACCCATGTTTACACTTTCATAGTGTTTTGACCCCAGCTTGTAAGGTTAATTATTTACCCATAGCTGGTACCCCTAACAGGTGCTACCATCCCGGGTCAGGGTGGACCTGGGAACACCAGCAATTAAGAAGTGGTTCCACGCTACTCAAGGCCTCTTGATCAGAGGCCTTGCTGTTGCACGTAGTTAATCGTCATACACAGGACGGGACTTCGTTCGCTGCTGCAATCTTCCGGTGAATAGACCTTTGCCGGATTATTGATGTTTAAGTCAGAATACATTTAACCTAAGTTAATCATTTGATCCTACTCTTTATAAAATACCCTGGAAATAGTGAATATTGGTTTTAAAAAATAAATTTCACTTTATTTTCTTTTAACTTATCTATTACGGACAACGTATGGTGTTACTTCCTGTATGTATTAAAAACTATGACTAGGACTATAATAAAAAGGAACAAAAATATCTGACCGGCTTTTGAAAGTGCTCAAAAACATATGATGAGCCATCTCGTTACAGTGACGGTTCCACGCGACGACCCGGGAAATCTGAAATACTTCTCGTGGAAATTAGTGACTGATTAGTGATGGTCAAGTAGTTTCCTATAAGACCTTCAATTTGTCCCGGATTATGACGTAATCAGCCCAACCGCAAAAGCCTCTCTTTTAAACGGGGGCTCAAATCTGCTGTCATTTTTGTGATAGTCCGTTTTTATCCCTTTGATCAACGTGCTGTTGTGTCGTCAGTAGATTCTCATTTTGCATGTTTACGTCAACTATTTGTTTCATTGCCTTTATTCTCCTAGACTGGTTATCAACCAAGGCTAGGGCAACCAGTTTGCCTTGAGTGTTGTAAGAAGTGATTGGTTATTGCCGTTACCAAATAAACACCGCTTCATTTTTCCATGACGCTAACCACTAAACTCACCTGACAATATTGAACACTTTAAAAACCTTTGTTTATATATACAACCAAGACTTGTGGGGTAAGAACGAGTCAGACTGACATACTCTGGCCTTGTGTCAACCAAAGATTAAGTCTCCAACCGTAGAGCAATAGCTGGTAGACTCTTCTCGCAGGTTTTCACTTTGTGCCTCTCCCTTTCCCACTTTTAGTGATGCGCACGGTGGGGGGGGTGTATGTTGCTCTACAGCAACAGACCTGTATTTTCTGTGCATGATTATTTCTGTCTCTTATCCACATATTGATGATCGACCTTCTCCACTTCCTTCTTTAAATCGATCGTCTATATTGATTAGTATTGATTTCTGTTTCGTCGGCTCCACGAGATGACATCGTAAAGAAAAATAGTTAGGATTTTAAAGGACATTTTCCGACAAGATCAATATCTGTCCAAGAAGGAAAAAAAAATAAGGACTGTAATTAAATCTTTACGTAGTTTTTATTAATGATGATAATAATTTGACTTTAATTTTCAGTCTTTGTATTCAATTAAAGAACGTAACTGATATTCTTCCTCGTCGCTTCCTTGAGTTTCTTTAATAATAAATCAAATTTTTACGCTTATCAGAATTTTTAAGGTGATATTAAAGCGTGTAGAATTACCCAAGTAGGTGTTGATGTGACATGCTATCTTGGCTCTCTTTCCATGACTCTGGATGAACACGTTTCATCCGGCGTAGAAATTTGTTGGTGTCGCTGTCTGACGGCGGCGCCATCAAATGGGGCCCATGTTCTGGTAAAGCGAACCAAAATTTCTGCTTGATCTGTACTCTTTCTTTCTCTCTCTCTCTCTCTCTTTCTCTCTCTCTCTCTCTCTCTCTCTCTCTCTCTCTCTCTCTCTCTCTCTCTCTCTCTCTCTCTCTCTCTCTCTTCTCTCTTCTCTCTCTCTCTCTTAGTCTCTTCTCTCTCTCTCTCTTTCTCTCTCTTTCTCTCTCTCTCTCTCTTTCTCTTCTCTCTTATTCTCTCTCTCTCTCTACTCTCTCTCTCTCTCTACTCTCTACGTATTTCTTTTCATATCTTGTTAGTAAATAAATCAACTTCCATTTGTCTTTTCCTTATTCAATTCTTTCCCATAATTCCATGTCATCTTCATTTCACCATTGTTCACGTTTAACGTTAACAAATTTGCTTCTCCAATCTATTTGTCTATCCTGGGGGACACAATTTGCAGCAAGTCGGGCTGATGTTTTTAACTCTTTCCCTCGCAGATTAGGCGATAGATTTGTCGCTCGCCTGATTTCAAGACGACAATTTCAAGACGACTATCTCGACCGCACTCTGTTGTCTTAGAAAATTTCGCCTTGAGCGATCGAACCAAGATGCTTTGGATTTCTTCCCTCGCTAACTTTTTTTCTCTCTCTCTCTCTCTCTCTCCTTTTCCTCTACTTCATCACGCATCTTTTTTTTTTCTTTTTTTTTTTTTTTTTTTTTTTTTTTTTTTTTTTAATTATTTATATGCTGTTTCTTCTCGCTTTATCTTCTCCCCGACCCAAAATGCCACACCTTCGCTATCGATCAGCAAACGTAAATTCAACACTTACTGCATATACCCCACCCGACCAAATCGAATTCATTTTCCATTAGGGGAGCCAACAGCGTAATTCATGGGCGTTAATCCATTTTTAAGCAGTATTGTGTGTGTGAGATAACCTACACATACACACACATTTCATTGACTGTAACAGACAAGGAAATTTTAAGTTTTTCTAACGTTCTTACAGCTTTTCTTTGAGAGGGGAAGTGATAAGAGTATGTAGAAACTGTAATAATTATTGTCCCAAGCGCTTTCGGCCAATTCATTGTCCATTTTTCAAGGGGGTTGTTCTTACATCTTCCACTGTTTATATTCGAATTTGTTGTTTGGAAGTTCTAAGTTGTGCTAATTCATGTTAGGGTGTCTTTTAAAAGACAGCCAAACGGGGTAAGGTTAATTTAAATTCTTTATATAAAGCGCTTCAAGAGTCTTAAGACGTCATCAATAATTATCGTGATTTTTTTTCCAAGCATAGCTCAGATGTGACACCGAAAGTATAGGGCATCCAGTGAGGATCGAACTCACTACTCAGTTGTAATTGTTCTAGGTGAGACCAGCTTATCTAAAAAGAAAGGTTGCTGCCTATTACACCACGTCGAGGTGCCCGTCATCAATAATTAATAATAATAAAAAAATAAAGGTTACTACCTAAATACTACTATCAGATATGTAATAATAATAATAATACTCGCTACGTCCGTAACATAATAATAATAATAATAATAATACTAATAATAATAATACTAATAATAATACTACTACTACTACTACTAATAATAATAATAATAATAATAATAATAATAATAATAATAATACTACTACTACTAATAATAATAATAATAATACTACTACTAATAATAATAATAATACTTTTTAATAATAATTACTACTAATAATAATAATAATGTTTTTGCTCTAGCTTTCTTCAGATCTCTGTCGATCTGGACAACTTTCAGAGAACTTTGAACTGGACTTTTCTATTTAACCCATGAGAGTAAATTCTCATTCCTCCTCTCTGTGTAAGGCACTGGTTCGTAAATTTGGTGGCATACTAATTGTGAGTTCAAACACCAGGCCGAATAGTACAAACTTAAGCTCAGTGCAAACAAGTTGATTGTTTGTTTTTTGTCTTTTTTCTTTTACTTTTTTTTATAGCGGCATATCATCCTGTCTAGGTTATTTAATGCCAAAATCTAAATATTTTGGTTCTACTAATTAACCCATATCTGGGGAGAAAAGAGATGGATTCATAGTCTTCCCAATGGTATTTGCCGAAGGATATCCATGACGGTGAATCCTTCTATAGATGTTCGGTACGATAATGGAAATCTTCGCCAAAATTAGAATGATTAAGTTTAAATTTCATACTAGTCACTTTCGAACAAATGCCGAGGGTGGGGGCATGGATCCTCTCCTCCCATCTCTAGCTATTCTACACACGCTGTACGGTACCTATTTTTTTTTTTTTTTTTTTTTTACGCTTTTCACTCACTCTCCTCCCTCCTCCCCTCCCTCCCTCCCCTCCCTCTCCTCCCTCCATCCCTCCCTCTCCCTCCCCTCCATCCCTCCCTCTCCCTCCCTCCATCCTCTCCTCCCTCCCTCCCTCCCTCTCCTCCCTCCCTCCCCTCTCCCTCCCTCCCTCCCTCCTCCCTCCCCCTCTCCCCTCCCTCTCTCTCTCTCCCTCTCCCTCCTCTCTCCCCTCTCTCCCTCCCTCCCTCTCTCTCGCGATTATTTTGTTCAAATTTATTACTTTAGTTGTTGAAACGTTCTCACCGGCATGACAATTCCAAACGGTATTTGTATTTAGTATAAAATAGTATGCGTGTTAAGATTATAATGCGAAGCTGAGAGAATATTTCAAAGGACATGTTATGGAATTGTCTAGGTTGAGAATATTAAGCGAGTAAGGGTTGGAAAAAATGTTAATTTCCAGGTTTTCTAGAATAGTTTTCTAAAAAAAAAAAAAAACACTTGCATGACTTCCGATCACTTACGTTCGGCTTCACACAAATGTTCTTTGGGAAAGGCATGAATCCATTCCCACCGCGTTAGGAGTTATCTAACACGATAGACTAGGGTGTAGATAAATTTAATAAGATTATCTAATTGTGTCTTGTATTTAGTACACAAACTAGAAGCCTTGTGTGGAAACCAGTCTAAGAGAAGGAAAATTCTAAATTCCAAGCCGTAGAGCAGACAACGAAAACCACTCCCCGATTCTTTTCCAAGAATTCATGATAGTTTTCAGACAATAAAGAAGGGATGGGATCTGTGAAGTCATGATCGCCTACATCCTGAAAGGACATGGCGTATGCACGTTTCGTTGAACAAGATTAACTTAAAGAGAGATGGCTGCCCAAATACACAAGACAACGATTAAGTCTCGAACCCGCTACTATATGAAATTGCTTACGAATGCACCACGGGATTTGATTTCGTCTGGACCAAGGTTTAATTATAGATAACAAAAAGTAGTCGATCTTAGTACAGATCTGCTTAGCTCGCCAGTTCGCCACAACAATGTGTCAATCTTTTTTGTGCGTGTGAGTTTATCTGGACTCAATATTTCTGTCTTTCTCATATAATAGAAAGGTTTCTTTTTATAATTTCATTTTGAATGTAATTCGTCTCAAACCGGATATTTTTTCTGTCAAGCTTTTTATAATCCTTGAGACGTAATAATTGCTGCAAAGCATTAAGAGTGTTGTTTCAACCTATATTAAAAAAAAGAGCTGGTTCTCTGTCCGTCACGAACTCTCTGCGTGTGATTTGTATACGTGTATGTAAGTCTGCATTGTACATATGCCTGTGCTAGTTAATGTGTACATACATACACTATATATATATATATATATATATATATATATAGGCAGTATGTTTTCATTGAGGCATGTTTAATTTTTTTCTATTGGATCTTTTCATATTAAAGGAAGAGAGAAAATTACCGTGTTTATACATAACGACACCAAAAAGCTTGTCTGCCAATATGAAAGGATCCAGTTTAAAATAAGTAGACTAAACTTGTCTAAATTATTCAATGAAACCTCTCTTTACACACACACACACACACACATATATATATATATATATATATATATATATATATATATATACAGTGTAACCTGGATACAAGAGATGTTCTCTGGTCCCAAATTAGAGCCTGTGTTAATGTATATAAAATAGACCAAACCCGGATATAAGAGACTTCTTCTCCGGTCCCGACAACTCTCTTATATCCGGGTTACACACACACACACACACATATATATATATATATATATATATATATATATGAGACAGAGACTATTTAAAATAAGACATTTAGACTGTTCCCTTCACGCTCAATCTGGACAACACTTACCCTGTGTTGAGCAATAAAAACATAAATTTGGAGACACAACGTCATTTTCTTAAAACACCAAGAAAATTGAATAAGATGTTATTAATCTTTTCGGCAGTTTTTCGTTAATGCATAGAATTATTTTTTTAAGTTTGATGCTTCTGCTATATTTAGAGATTCTTGATAAAATACAAAGAATCTGTAATGATATTTGACCTTGGTGTCTGTAGCTTTTTAAAAATTAGATTTTTTTTTTTTTTTTGAGAATAAATATAAAAATACTTAATAAATTACTCTTCTGTTAATCTGGGGCGCACCTGGCAACCTTTCAAGAAACGCAGGTTTAAACTGACGCCACGGGGATATGTGTTAAAGTGTGCAGGATGAATTAGGCAGGTTACTTGCAAATACGACGTCATTTTATAAAAAAAAAAAAAAAAAAACTTCATCATCCGCATATTTTGCTTGCTGTGGGAGGTCCTGAAGTCAATCCTTCGCGGGTAACGATAAACGACCATATTTAATTTGAAGAAACAATTAGGTTTTTAGGTTTTTCTTTTTTTCTTTATCTTTCTTTCTTTTATCTCGACGCTCTCAACAACAGTGGGGAATTAAATGAAAATGGGGGAAACAAGAAAAAAAAGGCATTCCTTTGTTATTTGAAGTTGACCATGTCGACATGACATCTTTTGATGTGAGACATCGTTTTCGTTTTAATTGTTTTAAACTCTGTCTGTACCTGTCGTTTCGCTGACGGTAAAATGATCAGTTTCAAATAAGTTGTTTGTTCACTTCAAATACTACATTTATTAAAAAAAAAAAAAATCATTCAGTTTAAACACAAAATAGAGTAATAAAATGACTTCAACGGATTATACACCTATAACCCAGACCTAAAAATAGTTCGACAAAATGTTAAAATAAAGTTTTATCATTTCACCCGAACAAAGCAATAAAACCACAAAGATACAAGGGGTTGCTGAGTGTGAGATAACGAGGAAAAAACATGAAACGGAACTATAAAAAGAACACGAAGTGACATAGCAATTAAATGTTTGAAGATCCAGGTTGACTGGAAAGTAGAAAGCCGGAAGAGTGTTCCACAAGGGAGAAGTGCTAGAGAAGAAACTGTCAGCATAGAACTTACGGTTACATGTAGCTATTTCAGCTGCCAGATGGTGAGACCTTTCTCCCAAAGATGAAAGCTCATCAGAACAATTGCCAGGAAAATATTTACAGGAAAGGCACAGGAAAGCTACGTTAGGTCTGTGGGGAAAGTAACTGAAGGCAGTGTGCCAGATCAGGGCCGATAACATTGCAGATTCTTTGTATTTTATCAAAAACTCGCTAAATACATAGAAGCCGTAGACACTATCGAGAATCTCTAGATATATAGAAGCAGCGTCAAACCAAACGTGGAAACAATATTCGATGCACGGACGCATTATAAATGCACAATTGCCTACTACTCATTCTTGGGCATATAGTTATGGATAATATATATTAATTACTAATTTTTTTTTTAATTAATAACTATTTCTGCTCAGTTGTTGACATTAATAGCTATCTGATGATATCTTAAAATTTTGGAATAATGCAATAATAAAAATTTAAATTTCATCTCTGATAGCTGTCGCAATTTGTGAGTAAAACTTACTTTGGGGGAGACTACCTAATCTGGTATGATAAGTAGTTAACAAGACTAGTACGCTCAAATCCTCAATCATGCTGACTTATGACTTTGTGCTAGTGCAATAACCATTGACGAATTTCCGAGTTTCGTCTACCCAGTTTCACTTACAAGTCTTGAACCTCCGTGCACCTTCCACCAGTGTCATACACTGGGGTCATTTGCCTTTGACGATGACATTAAGAATTTACCATAGAGTCCACTTGTGATTTATACTGTAACTGTGTTGAGCGGCCCTGGGTTAGTTTCTGCTTGAGAGCGCATCATCTGACGAGTTCAACAATTTTAACAAGACCGGCACGCTCAAATCCTCGGTCACGATGACTTGCGACATCGTGCTAGCACAATCTTAGAACAATTCCGTCTACCCAATTTCCTTCACAGGCAGTGGTATGGTTTTTCAACCTCTTTTTGCACGCTGGGATCGCTTCCCCAGACCGATAACACACGCGCGTGCGCACACACACATATTTACGATATATATATATATATATATATATATATATATATATATATATATATATATATATCATAAATATATATTTAAAAAATATGCCTGTTTGAGATATTCATTTTAAAAATGCCCTGTCTGACTTTTTTTTTATTAGTAATCTGTGTAAAGGTGTTGCTATGGCTGCTCATCAAGACCGAAATGGTAATGTTTATAGAGCGATTTTCACGTCTGGCCTTTTCGTAAAGAGAGGGAGGGAGAGAGAGAAAGATTTACTTTGATATGATACACTCCTACTATCCCCACACTCTACATAGTCTCTTCTGCTCTTAACTTGAAAATAATAGTGTTATCCGAGGACAATGTATATTTTATTTCCATGTGAATATTTTTATATAGATTTTATTGCTTTTTGTTTTGTCATTTCATTAAAATGCACTTGACTAGAAATTAATTAGAGATTAATTCTTAATTTTTGAAAAGTGGTATTTTCCAATTCCTACCTTTTTTTTTACTCCCCCCTCCTTCTTTTCTGCTCCCCGCTCCTCCTTCTTTTCTGCTCCCCTTGATTCTCTCTCTCTCTCCCCCCCTTGATTCTCTCTCTCTTCCCCTTGATTCTCTCTCTCTCTTCCCCCCCCCTGATTCTCTCTCTCTTCCCCCCCTTGATTCTCTCTCTCTTCCCCCCCCCCCCTTCTCTCTCTTCCCCCCCCTTGATTCTCTCTCTCTTCCCCCCCCTTGATTCTCTCTCTCTCTCCCCCCCCTTGATTCTCTCTCTCTTCCCCCCTTGATTCTCTCTCTCTTCCCCCCCTTGATTCTCTCTCTCTCTTCCCCCTTGATTCTCTCTCTCTTCCCCCCCCTTGATTCTCTCTCTCTTCCCCCCCTTGATTCTCTCTCTCTTTTTCCCCCCCTTGATTCTCTCTCTCTTTTTCCCCCTGATTCTCTCTCTCTCTCTCTTTCCCCCTGATTCTCTCTCTCTTTTTCCCCCCCCTGATTCTCTCTCTCTCTCTCTCCCCCCCCTTTCTCTTCTCTCTCTCTCCCCCCCTTGATTCTCTCTCTCTCTTTCCACCCCTGCTCCTTCTACCTCGCTCTCTTTCGCATTTATAGCTACTTATAAGTTGATTTAAAAAAAAAAAAAATAGTTCATCTAAGAACTTGATTTTCACTTCCACATTCCTTATCAGTATTAATTTCGTCCTTAACACTAAACACCATTTTTTTTTTCCTTCTCTTCCTTCAATTGCCTTGAATCTTTTCTCCTCAATTGCCATTTCGATCCTAACCCCAATAATTCAAATGTTCAGTTCTCCAGCGAGATCCTGATATTTTTCTATTTCCTTTCTCTTTCATCTTCGGCTGGTGTTCTGCTGGTCCAGCCTCATTTTCCATATGGCAGACTTTCTTTTCCTTGTTCACACCTAATCGGATCCGATCTTGTTTGGTTCGCGTAGTCGGTTTCAATTTCAAAATCAACGTCTATTTTACTGTTTTCGTACATTCAGGGACAGTCTTTGGTTTCATCTCTGAGCTTTTGTTTACATGCCTAACTCATTTGCATAAATTCCCCTTTGTCATTGCAATCCCGGCAAAGAAATTGTTACCTTTTTAGATTTTGAATAAGAATGACATTTATTTATTTATCACCTAAAGATAGAAAACAACGTAAATCTGTAAATAGCTTGCTGTTGATACAGCGATGATAAAGGCAATTTAATAAATCCAGTCACACACAAACAAGTTAGATGAGAATCCGACACAATGGTAAATATGTAAAATAATGCGTACGCCTACTTTGACATGTTTCGCCGAAGAACCGCCGGAAAAGCTTAAAAATTTTTGACTTAAAATTATTATTTTTTTATGATGCCGGTAAATCTGTGAAATATGCCGAAGTAGATATTTTACATATTGTACGTTTTCCAGGCACACCCCAACGATGTCGCCCAGGTCGATATCCCCTAGTAATCAACCTCTCTCAAATCGAGCATGGTGGGATTTGGACCAGTCTCATGGTTGGGGTGCTAACGCTCTTACTACTCGGCAACATAATTCTCACCGCAGTATTGATTCTCTTGTTCTTTACGATAATAGCTAATCAATAAGTGCGTAACCTATTGATGAAAAATCACATCCCATTAATATAGGTACCCCCCCCCCCCCAAAGTGATGCCTATGATTTAAAATGCATTTTTCAAAATGAAAAATCTTGGAGTTTTTATTTTAGTTTTATTTTCAAGCTAATAGATTAAATTTAATATTTCCAATTAGCAAGATATTTGGCTCTATTTCAAACTGAATTTAAATTGATTGAAATAAGTTTTTGTTTGTGTTTTTTATCAGTAAAAAAGAAATGGTAAAATCGTTCATATTGACAAATCTGTCAACACAACGTAATTCTCTATTGAAAACAATCTTTCAAAAATAAAATATACTTTCTTGAAACTTTATTTCATGAAGTCTAGCTGATTTAATGTTTAATTAATCTGATTTGAAACAAATATTTTTCATTTAGAATATCGCAGAAAAGCATTTTTTAACACTGGGGGTGTTTTTATGAGATGTTGACAACTTTCTCCTTAGATTTATGTTTGAGAATTTTTTTTTTTTTATGGAGGACATAACTGTAACAATTACTTGACGACTATAACGTGAACGCCTTTTTGATTTACTTTTTTTGAACTACCCAATAATCTTAAAAATTGAAACTCTTCTAAACAATCTTTGGCTTTATAGTCTTACGAAGGCGCTTGTTGAGGAAATGATAACTATAACTTTACCATACTTACCGCTCTTATTTTCTAATGTTGCGTTTGGACATCCGTATTTACAAAAATCGACGTTTATACACACAAAATAATTTCAAAATTCTTTTAAAAATATTGGGGGTCGTTGAATTGCAATGAGTTTTTCCATTTATCATTAGTAAATAGTCTTAATTTAATAACGCTATCACTTGACCATTGCAAATTAATACAGAAATTTTAAAGATTTAAAACTTGGTAAATTACTAGAATTCAAATTTTAAAAAGATGAAAACAGTTCTTGTAAAAAATTCATTATTCATCGAAAATAAAAAAAAAAATAGCTAAAATTTCCCAGACTAATTTACCTTCTGACACAAGAAAAAATAATTTTTAACCCAAATTTCGAATAATATATATATATATATATATATATATATTTTTTAATCAAGATCATTTAGTCTTTTCTCTTAACAGATGTTGACGATAAAACATTGTTTTTATTAAATTTGGGCCATTTTTTCATGTATACTTATTTTTTACTGAATATTTGAACATAATAGAACCTTTAAAATTTAGATTAATTTTTGTTATAAATTCTCAGACGCAGTTTCATATGTTTGGGTGTTATTAAAATCTTAATAGCGTTTTTGTTTTTTTTGTTTTTTTTTTTTTTTTAAGCACTGATATTCAAAAAAAACCTAAAACGATTACTTGGTTACTTATTTTAACGCCTCATTTTACTTAGAATTATTACCAAATGACGTAGACAATAATCGGTGGATTATTTAAATAAATTAGCCATATAATCGTTTTAAGTAATGCGGTTAATTAAAATAAGTGCAGCGTAATTCGTCACGGGAAAAAATTGCCGAGGGAACATGCAATAATAGTGGTGTCAAGGGAAAAACTGACTTTGTGTGTGTTTTTTTTTTTTTTTTATATTTTCGGGTAGCAATTCGATGCAAGAAAAAATTTAAAAATTAGATTTTAGAACAAAAAGTGTGAGGTGTGTAGAAAAACAAATTTTTGATGAATAAATAAGATTCTTGCGTTTCTTGGTTACACATCTACTTTGTTAAGCTCTTCAAAGAAAACTCGGTACAAGACCTCACTAGGAATGGGTGGGGCAGATCACGATTCCTAATCGTTTTTCCATTGCAACTACCTGTGATTGTGTCTTTCTACGCACTCGTCTTTTTTTCTTTTTTTTTTTTTTCCATTTTTCTCTTTTTTTTTCTTTTTTTTTTCCATTTTTCTCTTTTTTTTCTTTTTTTTTTACCTACCTACCTCATCCCATCTCCTCTTCTCGACACCCCTACAGTGTCGGTGCGACGAATTCTCTGCCCACAATTCTCAGCTTACTTGTCAGTTCAGCCCCTCATTCCTCTCGCCCTCTCTTCTTTTATCTTTTTCTTACCCACCCGGATTTTCTCATTGAAGAATTATGGCAATTATGTATGAATTTCTTTCTTTTTTTTTTTTTTTTTTTTCTCTTTTTCTCTCTTTCTCTTTCTCTTTCTCTCTCTTTCTCTCTCAGCTTCCATCCCCTCTGACCTCCTTACCCCAACTCTTCTCCCCTATACAGGTTACCCCACTCTTTCTTCGAGTACGGAGCCATCTATTTCGCTTGTCGGTGCCTGGTGCTTGTTGTGGAAGGGGAAAGGTGTATTAACCTATTTATACTTAGCTCGCTTTCTCTGTCATTGTGCATTTTATTTTATAGTATACTAGTGTGTATTAGTACGGTTAAACTAGAAGACATTTTTTTTTCTTTTTTTTTGTAAGCGACATCTATTTTCTCTGACCCGAATATTTTGTTCCTGTTTCCTTTTACATCTTTTTTTTTCTTCTTTTCTTTTCTTTCTTTCTTCACAAAAGATGGAACTTCATTCTTCAGTATTTTTTTTTTTTTTACTCGTAAACCAAAATAAAGTAAAGGACGACAATAAGCTATTCTACAATTTTATTGACGATGTTTTCTGAATTGAATAATCCAGAACTTTTATCTATGCAATTAAGTTTTCTTTTATACATATCTTATCATTGAATATAAGTGTGGAAAATTTTAGGAATGTTTGTTTTGTATTTTTTTTGTTTTTTTAATTCGGTTTTACACCTTCCTTTTATGGAAACAAAGAGTGTAGAAACTGTCTGTAGTGAATATTGTCGCCAATTCTTTTTCGGCCAATTCATCAGCCATTTTTAAGGGCTTGTTAGTATATTTTCCTGTATTTATGTTCTAAGTTGTATTCTGTAATAGTAGTAGTAGTAATATTGTAAATCATGCTTAATAGTAGTTTTTTTTTGTTTGTTTTTTTTACTCCTGTTCACTCAATACAAGGCCCAGGAGCCACTCAAGGTAGACTGTTGTGTGGAGTTATATCGTCATAGAAAAGGCCAAGCGTTTAGGAGTGTAGAGCTGAGGTAGAAGTAAATCAGAAACCCGGCCCTGAACCGGAAACAAGAGATAAAAATATTCCCCTATTCAAAAGAAAAGAAAAAAAGCGGAAGTGTGTGAACCGGATAAGCAAACCTATCCCCCTTCTATTAATTAATAATGTAAGGTTTGGGTTGTCTTCAAAAAACCGCCAACACGCCTTTTCCATTTTCAAATAGGGTATGGTTAAGAAGAAGAGTAAGACTTATAATTTCTTTACGTAAGCCTTAGTGGATTTACGTGCTTAAGTAGATATCCTTTTTTTTTTCTTTTTTTAACAATGTAAACTTACTTTATACCGGCTTGTGCATTCGAGAGTCTTCATACATATCTGAAAGATAACGTACCTTCCAGGACGGTTTATACCTGCTTCCTCTTACAGCTGGGAAAACCTTTCAAAATCAAGCCGGATACAGTTACCTTAGTTAAGAAATGTACATCTCTTGTTAGGATGCTTTTTTGCTGTAAAAGCTTTCTGTTGCTGTGCAGCAGACGTGGCGGTGGTCTCTCCTATATTATATATACTAAATATAACGTTTTAAAGTAATAAAAAAAAAAATGTGGGTTACCCCACTTGGCTCTGTCAAAAACGCCCGTGAGGTGGTGCTATTTAAAAGTCGATAAAGAAAAAAGGCAAAGATATTCACTTTCCTCTTACTTTCAGGTGTAACCGAACGTAGATAAACAATGCTGCCGCTGGGGCGCGTTCGCTTCTTTGGTCCTCTATTGACTTTTGAACTTTGTCACATATGCGCATATATCTGTCACGCACACTTACACACACACAAACACATACTTGTTATATCTAGTTTTTAATGTCTTTCATTTCATTTGTGTACACATGCAATTGATTTTATTAATGCATGCTTATAATTGCCCTTTGTTTTAAATTCATTGTTTTTGTTTCTTTTCTTTTTTTACCGGACTCACATGAGTCCGCCAATATTGTTTCCGGGACAAATGTTCCAGGAGCCCATAAATATTTACTATAAAATGTAGACACACTCGCTGTCATCAATGGCATAAAATCCCACAACTTATTTTTGTCCGAACATCATAGAAACCCAAAACAGATGATAAATAAAGTTAATTCTTTAGAAAATTACTTTTTTGGGGGGTGCGAAAATTATATATACAATCTTGGGTGTCCGTTTAGCTTACATTTTGTTCTATTTATAGGGAAATAGAACGTTTGTGGACATAGAAACCAATACTAAATAGACTGTCAGAATATGCGATATCTCGAAAAAAAAAATGAACCCAGCATAGCACATAACAAAATAAATACATATAATCATAACATTGTTATCAATAAGCATTCTTTGATAGTTACTCATGAAAGTATTCAGTGGACAAATTTATCTTCCGTTCAGAAAAATGTCCCGAAATACTTTTTTTTTTATGGCTTATCAACCTTATGCAGGTTATTAAAATCCAGCAAATGCTTTTAGATTATAATTATTTTTTTATTTTTTTTCGTGAGGAAGGGAGATAATGATTTTACTTGTATAAGCCTAGAATTGGAAATCTCTCCGATTTCCAATTTAGAACCTATATTCATTACACCCACCCATTTACTCTTGCATCATCTGATATTTCCAAGCGGTCACCCATGTAGGTACTTGCTAGGCTCGACGTTGCTTAACTTCGGTGATCGTACGAGAATCGGCGTTTGTGGCCGTAAGACCCGAAGAAGAAATAACAAAAATAAACAATGGCACATTAAACATCGGCTGTTGTTGTTGTTTGTTTTTTTTATAAAAAAACAAAAAACAAAAACAGTGTGCATCAGTGTGCATTCTCCTAAAATAATATTAACAGAACCAGGTACGTTCCCTTATTAGAATCGACAAATGGCTCTTACCATAATAACGGAATGTCTCATTTAAATTTGGTTAAGCTACATATCCGGTATTGTGCGTGAAAGAATCTTATGGTTGCAAACTCTGTACTGTCGTACATATGCAAGTAGACTACGAGATTTAGTCTGACACAAGACTACATATTCTTGATACCGCGTAAGATTCTAATGACATGACGACTGTTTACAGCTCACATGGCCTTGGAGGATAAAATCAGTTGACTAAATGAAATTGCTAAACACGCGTAGTGCTAATAATTTCAGTAGCAAAGAATGAATTCAGTAAGCAACTATATTCAATGTCATTACAAATTAACGGTAGACGAAATAGTAACATTAATTTAATTATGGTGATCCGATTTTCTATGAGGCCTGAAATGTACTTTTCAAAATATTTTCATGAGATTGCATCACTATTTTGAGAATACCGAACATGTGAATAACGAAGTTTTAGAGAAAATAGCGGGGGATGGCAAGAAAACTTATACTTATCAGGAAGAAATAGTTGAAATTTTTAAGGCACATAATGAGGAAAGGGGGCTTGGAAAATATGATGCTCACAGAACAGATTAAATAAAGGGGATAGAGGAAAACGACGCATAACATAGTGAGCTTCAGCGACTGTATGGTGGAACAAGGTTTAGGAGAAATAACAAAGATCAAATTTATTAAGAGCTACGAAGGACAGGAAAAGGCGGCAAACCCTGATCATATACGTCCTGAATGTATATTGCAGTCTTCCTTATGACATTTAGTCAACTGTTTTATTTAAGTCGTTGTTTATCTCTATGACATTGTCCGATAAACGGCAGTCAAACCTTTTCGTTCAGCGCAAGTCTTAATTTGTTGCTCTAGAAGCAAAACTCGAGCTGTAACTGGCCTTGTGCCAAACTGCTAGATTTAGCCAGTCCTGATAAATCGATGCGCCAACCCATTTAAAGCGAGCTTTGTTCGTTTTATTGCCAAAATTTAGGATCTGTGCGTTATTTGGCCAGAGCAAACTTTTTTTTTTCCCAAATACCAGTGGCGATGTTTTTACAATCTTGATGTCTTGACATATATACACTTTGCTGCTGCTTCCCCACCCCGTAGGGTGAAGGAAAGAAAGTAAAAAGGACGGCTACTGTGAAGGCTGGTGACGTCTTTAGAAAATAAATATCAAGTGGTCACCATTTTAAAGGAAAAAAAAAACTGCTTGCATGCCTACACGTGTGTGTTTGTGTGACTGTCTCACTCTCTAACTAAAGTGACACCTGAGTCTGACCTGGGTTACCAATTGTTACCTGGTTGCTGTAGTAACTGAATCCAGCGAAAAGGATACGGATGGTGGGCGGAGGGGTGTAAAGTGTTGGCGGTAGGAATAGCCTATGTGTTAAGGGTGGGGTTCGCGGTATGCGCTGTCCCGGCTTGTTTCTTATCTCAAACAAGCCCAAATAAATAAATGCATTCAGGTCAACTTCACTTGCCTGCTTCGCTTTCAAACAAATGGGACTTCTTTTTTTCTTCTTCTTTCCTCTCTTCAAGAAAACGTCGTCGGGATACTTAAGTTGTGTATTTTAATTAAACCTTTTTAACTAGCTCTTGCTTGAACGGACCTGCGTGTTATATTCGACAAAAATCTTTGCTTCGATATTCAAACAGAACGATCTCAAATGTACCCAGATGTAATGACAAATAAAAAAGGATTTCAGTTTATTTATAATTTATATAAGGTAGATGGAAAGAATCGAAAACAATTGAATTAGTGTAATTAAAACAAAACAAAAAAAAAAACGCGCGTCTTCTTGTAAAGGACAACGAGTATTGTAAGATTGTTTTTCCTCTAAAAAATAGACTGGCTCATACGTAATAATATCAGTTACTGTGCTACTAGTGAAATGTATGAATTTTCAAACTGAAAAAATAAAAATACAATCTAGTTAGTAGTTACATCCCTTCGTAAAACTATTTTTCTATGAATTCTGAATCCGAAATATCTGATACGTCTATTTGACGTGTGTGTTTTACAGTAAGTTTCAACCTGTACAAGGCCACTCGGGATTGAGGGTTACGCTAAGAGACGGTTCATATGGACAGGAGAGGAAGATAACGGTTAACTTTAAACAGGTTAAGAGTGTAGTGGTGTAGTGATCGGGGGAAAACATCCTCTTGGGAGTCTGTTCCACGGAGCAGTGGTTCGGGGGGGGGAGAAGCCGTTCAAGTGGAACTTACATTTTTTTGTCGATGGAATACAGAGAGAATGGATGTGGTTTGCTACTATGTAATTGGCATGGCGGAACCAAGGAATGTATTTCGCCCGAGCACTTTCCATGGACGTAGCGATAGAGCAGTAAGAGGCTTGTGAGAGAGAGAGGTTGGAAGATGGAAAATTCTTCTTCTCCAACAAGGACTCGGAGACGCTTTTGAACGCTGTCATGACTAGAAAATGTGGTCTGGGCAGCTCCTGCCTAAATATGACAACAGTATTCCATTATAAAGGTAAAAGGTAGCAAGAGGAGCGGTACCAGGGAGCCTATTATTTTACCTACATCTTTAGCGATAGGTCGTATACAAGGGTTCCACTTGAGGTCGGGTGTGAGTTTGAGGCCCAATATTCTCTCAAGGCACGGTCGGTGCCTCCTCAAGGGGCATAAAAACTGTTCTAAATGTCTTCTTTCCACTGACTTAGGCTTACTACCACATCACGTTGAAACACCGATCCGGTCAACGAAGTTAACGTCGAGCCTGGTCAGTACCTAGATGGGTAAGAGCGTGGGGGGGAAAACCAAGTGCTGTAAGATTGGATGTGTGGGTGGTGTAATTGATAATGGCTTGAAATTATCAATCGGAGAGCCGAGTTCCAATTCCTGTTAGGTTCGTTTTATTGACTTACGCCCAAAGAGCCTTGGGAAAGGTATGAATCCATCGCTTCACCACCCCCACACAGCTATGTGTCAATTAGTAAGACTTGTATCACTAAAAAAACGCTCATCAGGGTTATATGTAAGGTATGCTGGTGCTTTTAAGAAAGGTGTGAATCCATCTCTCCCTGCAGCTATGGGTTAAATAGAATAGATTCGGGTTCTTCACGTTTGGTTGGTAACCAGTCTCAGGACAATTCAGAATCTTAGTTAACCTTAGCGAAGCACATACTATGCAGCTAAAGAAAAGGATCATGCAGTTAACATATATATATATATATATATATATATATATATATATATATATATAATGTGTGTGTGTCTGTGTGCACACTAGCAAAAGTCTCTCTTGCACCAAACGCAAGTGCCCTCTGGAATAGTCATGCTAGTAGGGAGGTAGTTGATTTAATCGTAAGTACTTGTATTATATAATACCCTCCCCAATACACATTTTCTATGGTTTTACTGGGGGTTGGTCACACTGACTTAAAATGCGTGTGCCACTCAAAAATTGTTGTTCGACCGGAAGACTCTTAGCCAAAAGCTTGAAAGAAATATTTCGGATTGGGGGTGGTGGGGAGCTCTGTGGCAGATTTGCAGCGCGTCACACAAAATTTAATGTGGTCATGACGTTTGAATATATGTTAGCCACCGTACAGATCGCAGGGCTGTTCTAATTCAAGTTACAAAACCTAAGCGCTATATATTGTGCTGGTCTTATTGGCAGACTGACTCACGATGCGAGGTACCAAGTAGTGTTAGGTGTGCGCGCATTTCAGTTGAACAATACGGCAACTTTCTGATAAAACTTCACATGTTCATGCAGAAAAACAAATTAACGTGGGCAGAAATGTTCCCTTGGGGATGCTATGAACTAATGGAGGTAGTAAGTGGCCAAGGATGATTAGGAGTGTGCTGTAAGAGGATTTCAATAAAAATTTTATATACATATTCGTTTACCTGTTTTTCTCTCTCTCTCTCTCACACTCTCACTCACATACACACGCACACACGTTCTCTCTCTTATATACCCCCGCTCTCTCTCTATCTCTCTCTCATATATATATATATATATATATACACACACACCCCCTGTTCTCGCTCTATCTCTCTCTCATATATATACACACCCCCATTCTATCTCTATATATATATATATATATATATATATATATATATATACACACATACACCCATTTTCTCTCTCTCATATATATATATATATATATATATATATATATATATACACACCCACACATATATATATATATATATATATATATATATATATATATATATATATATATATATATACTCACACACATCCCCTTCTCTCTCTCTCTCTCACTCACACACATATCCATTCTCTCTCTCGCACACGCAATTTAAGACAATACCAATAAATTATTTGCAAAAAAAACAGTGCCAAATAAAGTGCCCAATGCAATTTCAAATAAAAAAATAAATAAATAAATACAGATCAATTTAAAACCTGAGATTTAATAGGTAAACTAACCTTTCTGCTACTGCTGTTTCACTACCTTTCGTGTCTTCCGGAAAGTTTAGCTTTACTGCCTGAAGACTCCATAGGTGGTGAAACCACAGTAGCAGAAAAGTTAGTTTTCCTATGAAATTTTATCTCTTATAATATGTTAGAATCTAATATGGATCAGAATCTGATACAATAAGATGGAGAACTATTAGGAAACACTTATCAATCTAACGTGTTTCACTTTTATTAAAGCTTCTCTGATGTTCCATTTTTAATGAAGGGGTCACTAGCCTGTGCAAATATCTGGAGACAAAATACTTTAAGAACTACTGACTTGGCATAAAACATTAAAATACAGGTGTACAATGTCTTCAAGGTTGTTCACATTTAAGAAACGATCAAATGATCATAAATTCGGCTTC